AAGGTATGCAACAAAAAGAAGTTATGTTATTTATATTTGAAAGAATTTTTCAATTAGGTTGCTTTTATATATAAGGCGTAAAACATTTTGTGGTACATTAGATTATCTCCACCCGAAATGATAGAAGACAAAGAACATGATGAAAAGATAGATCTTTGGTCACTTGGTGTTTTGTGCTATGAACTTTAGACAGATACCACACCATTTGAAGAAACTGGTCATACTGCAACATATAAACGAATTGCAAAAGTTGAGTTCACACTTCCAGATCATTTGTTATTTGAGGCTTGTAACTTGATTTGTTCGGTAACTATCTTTAAATATTTAAAGTATTTTGCTAATAAAGTTAGTGTCGATTTTAATTTTATATTATTACTACAACGTGACCTGAAACAACGTCTACCTTTGAAAGATGTCTTGAAACATCCATGGATTCAAAAATACCAGAAAAACCTGTGAATATAATTCCTTTATAGCTATATTTATCTATAGACAATCTATTAATCCTACTTTGAATCCACAATAAAGTGTATAGAAAACTTTAATATCTACAAATTTGCTTATTGGTTGAAAGCAAATTCAAAAGACAATTTCCTGAAAATTTGCTTCCGAATTCATCCTTATCTATTATTCAACCAATCGTTCAAATGTCCTTGATTACCTAAAAATACGCGAAAGTTTCAACAAATACTTTAACTCATATAAAGACCAAAAAAGCTTATTTTTTCACATAACTTAATAAAAAAAAGTTTAACAATCTTATAAAGAATAATAAAGTTTTTAACAAAAAAATTTATATATAGATATACAGAAAAAACATGTCCTCAATCCTACATTCTCCGACTACTAATGTTGATAGAAATTTCACAGATTATGACAAAAATGTATGGAGTTTGGTTAATGGTCATTTGATTATTTAATCAAGTAAATAGATGAGTAAGAGTTATATTAATAAAGACCATATATGATAGTTCTAAGAGCTCTGGTAGTAGTAGAATCTTTGATTCTCAGAATACCTTTTTTTGAGTAGCTATTGTTTTTTTTGTTGTGCTTTAAATTATGAATTATAATTACTCTCAATTCACCCTTTTATATTTGGTAGGCAATTCTTGAATTTGTGCCAGGTTGGTATCACATTAATCAGCCCAAGTAATTTGCACAAATTAAAAAATTCCAATAACAACAATAAATTTGAGTTTTAATAGAACGAAAACACTATTATTTTACTCGAATAAAATGTTCTTACTATTTATTTTTTTTTATAACCTTTAGCTTCTGCTATTACCGTTTTGAACTCAAAAAACCATACTTATATTCTTTTACTGTTATAATGTTTATAATTTTACAGACCAGAATAATGACAATTCATCAAAGTTCTAATATAATACGCTATAAAAAATATATATATTGGCCTTAAAAGTATTATTAAAAATCTCAATTATACAAAATATGTTAGGTAATAAACACGTACTATGTAGTTTATAAAAAAAATATATATATATTCTTTAAATGAAAAAAAAACTTTTCTTATAATCTACGATGAATCGTATTTAAAAAAAGAATAATAGTAGTATTCCTTATTTTTAAAGG